AGAGAGAGAGAGAGAGAGAGAGAGAGACTATTCATTTAAGGTAAAAATACTTGGCTTAAAAGTGAGCTCAAATGTTACATGATGGCCCTTGTGTATTTTACAATAATTTCCATCGCAAATTCTATCTTTCTCATCTCTGACCTCGGTGAGTGTGACCTCGTCAGTTGCTTTATCAATATCTCCCGCAACTATATGTAAAATTTGATTAACAAATGATGATTAATCTAATTAAATGATATTAATTTTACAAATTTACATGTTTACACTTACCACAACTGTACAGGGTTAGTTGTTTAGATGAAACAAATGTTATTGTTACAAATAAAATAATGAGCTGAATTGTTAATTTTAGCATGATTTTGATCATATTGGTTAAATTTTTGCAATTAAAAGTTTATAAATCTATAACAAACAATAGAAATGAACAAAAATGTTAGAGTAGAAGTAAATATGTTAACGTTATTATATTATCATTGTGATTTACCTTTAAATACAGGTGAAGCTAGATTTATTAAATTACTTAATTTAAATTAAACAAATAATTTAATAAGTTAACATTTAGCATACTGTTAAGTAATTATTATATAATTTAATAAATTAATATAATTAAATTTGTTAATATGGAAAGAATATTTCAATCAGTTATTTTTTTTACAATTAAGAGTGTAAAGTGGTTTAAAACTTAACCTATTGATAAAAACTTATTTTTATCTAGAAGTATTTCTTATATACCGTATAATGTTGACAATAGGATTAATACCAGGATAACAGCGTTATAGCTATCAGAATGTTAAATATTGCCATGATTAATGTAATAATTATTTTATAAAATTAATTACATTCAGTATTCAGTACGCTAAATGTGCCTAAATATAAGTAACACCTAAGAAATACAAAATACTTGAAACAGATTGTTATAATGTTTTATTAATACCGTAATAAATTAATTTGTTAAATTTGACAAATTATGGTTAAAAATAGTGTACTAAATATCAGGAAAACTATTGTATATAAGTTAGTTTACATAAATGCTATTGTTATGGAGAAAGTCTAAGTTAGTTATTTTTTAAAATTAAAGTTAATACTGTAAACAAATAAGAAAATAATCAATAAATATTTATTCATAATGATTCCTAATAAAACTATTATATTTTTAATCTAATTATAGGAAATGTGTGCCAAAAAACTATTAGTTAAAATAATACAATTCGTGATTATAATCATTATATGAATAAATAAATCATTAAATAAATATAATAGCATTCAAAATTATTTATTTAATGAGAAACCAAATCAATATATTTCTTATAATATATTAAATTTTAAAATATTTCATAAATAATATATTTTAATGTCAATCATAGATGCGGTGTGTTTACAAACTAAAATCCCATATAATAATAGCAACATAAATATATTCTTATTAATTTGTAATTAATTATAAACAATATAGCCATAAATAATTGAATAACTAAAAGTAACTAGAAGGAAATATTAGTTTTAAAAAGCTACTATCAATACCTATGTTTACCGAACAGATAAACCCAAACCAATGCCTACCCCGGGAGCTGAGACAGCCGGAGGCCGGTTGTCATCTGTACACGCGGGGCATATCCTTACATCGCATGGGCGACAAACCGCGCACCCTATTTCACAACCCGGCCTTAATGTTAACCCTGGTATCGATAAACACCGTACGGTTTGCTATACCGTTGTTTATACCTGGTCAATATGCCAAGCAGTGGGACATCTATCTAGCTGATTTTGCCGCCTTTTTTGACGTCAAAATACAACTCAACTTGGGCGCCGGCACGTATTTTTTGCTGGCCGTATGTACCCAGCTGCTATTTTGGCGAATGTACCATCGCCATTTGTACCCAACATTTTTGGCCCCGT